GGAACTGAACCTGGGTCTGTCTGGTCCATGGGCCGACACTATAACCCCTGAGCCAAACCGGCCAGGGCCCTCAGGTATATCTTAAAGAGATATATTAACAGGAAAAAGAGATCAATTCAATATTCTGAAATAAGTAAGCATTTATCATTGTAGCTAAGCTTTTATTAACAGTTTTAATTTTTTTAAATATTTTTATCGATTTTTTTTTTTTTTTTAAAAGAAAGAGAGGAAGGGCCCTGGCCGGATTGGCTCAGCAGTTAGAGCACTGGCCTGTGGACCAGAGAGTCCCGGGTTTGGTTCCCGCTAAGGGCATGTACCTTGGTTACAGTTTGTCCCCAGCCCTGGTTGGGGTCGTGTGGGTGGCAGCCACTCGATGTGTCTCTCTCACATTGATGTTTCTCTCTCTCTCTTCCTCCCTCTCTCCCTCCTGCTCTATCTGAAGATAAATGCAAAAATGTCCTCGGTTAAGGATTTAAAAATGAAAGAAAGAGAGGAAAGGAGAGACAGAAACATCAATGTGGGCCCTGGCCGGTTTGGCTCCGTGGTTAGAGCACTGGCCCACAGACCAATGAGTCGTGGGTTCAATTCCAGTCAAGGGCACGTACCTCGGTTGCGATTTCTCCCTGGCCCTGATCAGGTCATGCGGGAGGCAGCCAGTCAATGTGTCTCTCTCACATTGATGTTTCCCTCTCTCGCCCCCTCCCTCCCACTCTATCATGATGATGATAAAAATGAAAAAATATCCTTGGGTGAGGATTAAAAAATTAAAAATTAAAAAAATAGTTGGCTTGTTCATTATATAATTATCTAACCTTCCTGGTATGTTCTAATAAAGACTTCCTTTTACATGTATATTGATTTTGTTGCTTTTTATCTTGATTGTATCTTTTCTCCTTTGTATCTAGACCAGGGGGTGAACAAGCTTTCTGTAAAAAGCCAAACAGCAACCCTGCCAGTTTTGCCCAGTGGTCAGAGCATCGGCCTGTGGACCAGAGCCTTGGGTTTAATCCCAGGCCCCAGTCAGGGTCATGTGGGAGGCAACCAATCGATGTGTTTCTCTCACATTGATGTTTTTCACTCTCTCCCTCCCATTTATCTAAAAACGTCAGTGGAAAAATATCCTCAGGTGAGGATTAAGGGAAAAAAAAGCCAGACAGCAAATATTCCAGGTTTTGCCAAACTTACAGTTTCAGTAGCAAGAAAACAATAAAAACAATATATAAAGTAACAAGTGTGTCTCTTTTCCAATAAAACTTTATGGACACTGAAATTTGAATTTCATGTAATTTTGTTTTTTAATCCTCACCTAAAGATATGTTTTTCCATTGATTCTAGAGAGAGAGGAAGAGAAAGAGAGAAACATTGATGTGAGAGAGAAACATCAATTGGCTGCCTCCTGTCCACTCTCTGACCCAAGGTGGAACCTGCAACTTGGGTATGTGCCCTGACCAGGGAATAGAACCCTCAACCCTTTGGTGCACGGGACAATGCTCTAACCCGAGTTATACCGGCCAGGACCAAATTTCATATAATTTTTTTCATTTTTAATTCCCAACAGAGGATATTTTCCCATATATCTTCAGATAGAGTGGGAGGAAGGGAGGGAGAGAGAGGGAAAGAAACATTGACTGGTTGCCTCTCCCACATGACCCAAACCAGGGTCAGGGACCAAACCGCAACCAAGGTATGTGCCCTTGACCAGAATCAAACCTGCAACTCTGGTCTGTAGGCCAATGCTCCAACCACTGAGCCAAAACAGCCAGAGCAGAATTTCATATAATTTTTAAAAAATCATTAATAATTTATCATTTTAATTTTATAAACTACTTTACAAAATAAATTTTATTAAAATCTGTACAAAATAAAACTTTACAAAATATTATTCTTTTGCTTTTTTCCAACCACTAAAATTGTAAAACTCATTCTTAGCTCACAGGTTGTACAAAAAGTAGCAAGCAGGATTTGGCTTGCCAGCTATAGTTTGCAATCCCCCTAAAATGGACAGTTATCTTAAACAGGCTACCTTTAATAACAGTATCTACCTCACAGAGTTTGTCAAATTAAATGAGTTGATACATCTGCTTACAAGAGTGCCTGGTACATAGTAAGTGCTATATGATTATAGCACATATATCAATCATAGTTTCTATATCTCTTCCATTTTACTTAATACTCCTTCATTGTGTTAGCCTATCACAGTGAAATGTTTCGCCTAAAATGTGATTGTTTTAAAGAGAAAAGATCTTTCATTGTTGAGGTAGAAAAAGTAGCCAATTATGATTCATTAGCTTTTCGTAGAAACTTTCTAGCTCTCTCAAAAAATCAAAGTAGTCCTAGCTGGGTGGATCAGCTGGCTGGAGAGTTATCCGATACAACAAAACTAATGCATTCAATTCTTGGTAGGGGTTCATAAGGGAGGCAACCAACTGATGTTTCTCTATCTCACCAATGTTTCTCTCTCTCCCCCTCTCTTTAAAAATCAATAAAAACATATCCTTGGGTGGGGATTAGAAAAAAGAAAAAGAAAAAAGTTCAAAGTAAATATATCCACTAGCGCCCTGGCCAGTTTGGCTCAGCGGTTAGAGCGTCGGCCTGCGGTCCGGAGAGACCCGGGTTCGGTTCCCGCTAAGGGCACGTACTTCGGTTGCAGTTTGTCCCCGGCCCTGGTTGGTCGTGCGGGTGGCAGCCACTCGATGTGTCCCTTCACGTCGATGTTTCTCACTCTCTCTCCCTTTCTCTCTCTCCCTCCCATTCTATCTGTACAAAAAATGGAAAAATATCCTCGGGTGAGGATTAAAAAAAAAATATATATATATATATATATATATATCCACTAGCAATTTACCATAGCAATAGTCTCATTATCTTGAATCTTAGGCATTTAAAAAATAAAAACTCACCTACTAAGACCTTAGAGGAGGGCATAAAGATACCTAATTTTCAAGACACTAATGCAAATGCACTTAGAAAAGACTTGTCTATAAATGCTTCATTATATTATAAGCAAGACAGCTTATAAATTCAGGTTTAGAGTACTTTTTCCTTTAGGTAACGAGTCAATTTAATTAGTCAAAGTAAGCCCAGCCAGTGTGGCTCAGTGGATTTAGTGTCAACCCAGGGACTGAGAGAGAGGTCAGGGCACATGCCCAGGTTGCAAGCTCAATCCCCAGTAGTGGAGGTGTAGGAGGCAGCCAATCAATGTCTCTCTCACATGAATGTTTCTATCTCTCTCCAAAAAGAAATCGATAAAAACACCTTTATAATTAGTCAAAGTAAGTAGTGACTCCCACCTTGGCCTGGCCTAATACTAAAGTGTGAGTCAAAGAACATTAAGGAAAAGCTACGTAGAATGCAGGGGAGGCCATTTATCTCCAGAAAGGTATCATGAAGTAGCATTCCACATGCCCAAGTCTTCACTATTAAAATGTTTTATTTGGGGTTACATGCCCCTCACCCTTATGTCTTGTAATTTTCCATTCCCCTTCAATATGCAGCCTGAAGGCAACCAATCACCACCTGCGTGAAGTCCTACCTGGCCAGCACATCCCCGCTGGCAGAGGTAGGTACCCTCTTCTTCAGTCTTACTGTGTCATGTACATATAATCCTGATAGTTGTGTTTATTAAATGCCATTTCATCCTAGGTCCCTCTCCTACAATGTTCAATTCTTCCAAAACCCAGCAAAAAAAAATTAATATCCTCATTTAAGAGAGGAGGAAACAAGTTCACTAAGGTTAGGTCATGTATCCAAGGTCAAATAGCTAGACAGTGGCAGGACCCAGATTCAAACCAGGTTTGTTTGTATTCCCATTTCAGTGGTTTCAAAGAGCAGGAATGAGGACAGAGAGGAGGCCAAATAGACAGGATTCCCTTTTTATCTGTTTAGGTATTGGGTTTCTGTGCAAGATTTTTTTGGGTAAAAGTTTCCAGTGCTAAGATAAATTTGAAAAATCACTGACTACCCTGTGCTGACTCCCACATTCTTTGTAACTACATACACGCTATCTTTAATACCAGACTAACCTCCTTAAGAGCAAACACTGAACTGAATTTCTTTGTCGCTCTAGTATCAGGTAACAGTGTTTGGCACTCAAAAAATGTTTGTAAGGAATCAAACTTTGAAAGCAAGACTTTCCAAATAATTATATTTGCACAGCAATCGGCAATTATAAATAACTTATACAGGCATAGCAATTTATAGTTAATAAATTATTTCATATATAGCTTCTTAAAAAGAGAAACCAAGCTGAACTTTTCAAATTGTTTCCCCCGAATGGCACATTTACTCAATATTCAAAGCTTTATTTTAATAAAATATTACCCAACAACTGACATACATTATTGGCAAAATATATTAACAATGTTTTATTTTCTTGTTTAATTGCCATATCAAAATATATTAGGAGTAAGCCATATAAAACTGCCAATAATAGCAACTACACAGGTTCAACCTAATACTTATCAATGGTATTTAAACAGCATTAGGTAAGTTCTCAGCAGCTAGCATAAATAGCAGAACTGATATTTATATAGAGTTTTCATAAAAAAAAATAAGCAAACAGCCCGGCCAGCGTGGCTCAGAGGTTGAGCGTCGACCCATGCACCAAGAGGTCACCGGTTCAATTCCTGATCAGGGCACATACCCAGGTTGTGGGCCAAATCCCCAGTGGGAGGCATGCAGGAGGCGGCCAATCGATGTTCTCTCTCATTGGTGTTTCTATCCTTCCCTCTCTTTTCCTCTCTAAAATCAATAAAGAAAAAAAATTAAAAAAAAAAAAGAAAATTAAGCAGAGTAACTCCCTCCTCTGATTTCATAGTTCTTTGTACATACACATATTTAATGATTCTCACACTACACTGTAATTATCTGCCTTGATGGTGTCTCCTCAACAACTGTCCTCCAAAGCTGCAACATATTCACTCCTTGTTATATCTCTACAAAATATCATGATAATTAACACAGAGTAAGTATCTAGTGTTTTAATTTTATTTATTTACTTTTTAAATATGGAATGTGTCACGAATTTTCGTGTCATCTTTGCGCAGAGGGCATGGTAACCTTCTCTATATCGTTCCAATTTTAGTGTACGTGCTGCCGAAGCAAGCATAGCATCTAGTGTTTTTAAATGAGTAGGATAGGCGTCATAGTAAAACTAAAAATGTACTGTGCTCTTAGAACTAAAGATGCACAGTATCACTTTATTCTCATCTTCTTTTATAAAAAATTCAAAAAAGCCCTGGCGAGTCTGGCACAGAGGTTCGAGTGTTGGCGGGTTCGATTTCCAGTCAAGGGCTCGTACCTGAGTTGCAGGTTTGATCCCCAACCCAGGTTGGTGTCGTGCAGAAGGCAACCAGTCAACGTGTCTATCTCAAATTGATGTCTGTCTCTCCCCACAACCTTCCAATCTATCTAAAAGTCAATTAAAAAAATATCCTCAGGTAAGGATTAACAAAAAACAAAAAAATGCTAAAAATCAAAATCTGAAATATGGGCAAACATAAAAGTCCCGCTGTTTGGGGCTGGGTTTTTCTTTTTTTTTTTTTTTTTATCCTCACCCGAGGATATTTTTCCATTTTTTTATTCAGATAGAGCAGGAGGGAGAGAGAGGAAGAGAGAGAGAGAAACATCGACGTGAAAGGGACACATAGAGTGGCCACCACCCGCACAACCCAACCAGGGCCAGGGACAAACTGCAGTCAAGGTACATGCCCTCAGCGGGAACCGAAACTGGGTCTCTGTGGACCGCAGGCTGATGCTCTAACCGCTGAGCCAAACCGGCCAGGGCTTGGGGCTGGTTTTGACATAATTTTTCTTTTTTTAAAAACCCTCACCTGAGGACATATTTGCATTTATCTTCAGATAAAGTGGGAGGGAGGGAGGGAGGAAGAGAGAGAAACATCGATGTGAAAAAGACACATCGACCTGTTGCCACCCACATAACCCCAACCAGGGCCAGGACAAATTACAACCGAGGTACGTGCCTGACCTGAATCAAACCTGCAACTCTTTGGTCTGCTGAGCCAAACTGGCCAGGGTATACGTAATTTTTTTTTTTTTTTAAACCGAACACTAATTAACATATCAGAGACAGTAAAACAATTTAAAAATCCTGTAGAAAAATCATTTGGCTGTCTTAACTTTACACTGAAACTTTAAAAATTAAAGGCCTTTTGACCCTCCAACATTCATATCATTATTCTGATTTCTGCCTACCAATGCTACATTTTCAAGCGACAATTAGACAAATGCAACAACAGCTCTGTAGAGCTAATATACTAAAAGTCAAACCAGGTCACACAAAAAATCCATCGCCTTAACACAAGAAGAGTTTGCTAATACTTCCAAGCATACAGACAATAATAGAAAACAAACTGTTCTATGTGCAGTTTTAAAAATAATTTTTTATTGATTTTTTTAGAGAGGAAGGGAGAGATAGAAACATTGATGAGACAGACACACGTCGATCGGCTGCCTCTTGTATGCCCCTTCCTCCCCCAGGGATCGAGCCTGCAACCCAGGTATATGCCCTGACTAGGAATAGAACTGGGACCTCTCAGTCCATGGGAAGACGCTCAATCCACTGAGCCACACCAGCCAGGCACTATGTGCATTTTTTAAGCATACGGTATGGTGACTACTAACACAGTTAGCCCAGAGGAATTATAACAAGGCAGAAATCACTGTATTTCTTTCTTTCTTTTTTTTTTTATCCTCACCCGAGGACATTTTTGCATTTATCTTCAAATAGAGCTGGAGGGAGAGAGGGAGGAAGAGAGAGAAACATCAATGTGAGAGAGACACATCGAGTGGCTGCCACCCACACGACCCAACCAGAGCCGGGGACAAACTGCAACCAAGGTACGTGCCCTTAGCGGGAATCGAACCCGGGACTCTCTGGTCCACAGGCCAACGCTCTAACCGCTGAGCCAAACCGGCAGGGTAGAAATCACTGTAATTCTTTAGGACAATGTTCTAAAACTGCTTATTTCATGGTGATTGTTTGGAGATAACATGAGATATTAAAGCAGGAGGAGGCTGGAAGTAGATGACAGAGGATTAACCTAGGATGGAAGAATCTAGATTAATTGGGGGGGGGGGAGCTTTATGGTCAAATATCAATTATGCAAAAGTGAAACTTTTAAATGTTATTTGAGAGAGAGAGAGGAAGGGGGAGAGAAACGCTGATTTGCTGTTCCACTTATTTATGCGTTCATTAGTTGCTTCTTGTATGTGTGTGCCCTGACCAAAGATCAAACCCGAAACCTTGGCATATAGAAATGACACTCTAAACCAACTCATCCACCTGGCCAGGGCTGAAATTTTTTTTTTGACACAGTTCACTAGACACTCTTGAAAGATGGCTTTCCCTAGAATATGATCTTGGTCCTAAAGGCAGATCTCTTGTTTACATCCAAGGAACTGCCCAGGTGTTATAGCAACCCAAGGAAAACCTGCAGTATCTCAACTGAACTAACTTCTAGTTTATACTATAATCCACACCAATGTTTGCCTCCAGTGAAACAACTATATTTTCGGTGTCAATTATCCAATTTATTTACTGAGGATGTACCAAGTACTCAATATTAAAACCAAATAACACATAGCTGTGTGCCATATAACTCAACACAGTTAACCTATGTGCCTCACCTATGGAAAGCTACATGCGACATAAAAGCAATGTTTAGTTCTTGTTCATAAGAAACTTACAATGTAGTTAAAGATGTAAGCTATATATAGCCCTGGCTGGTTTTGCTCAGTGGTTAGAGCGTCGGCCTACAGCCCAGAGAGAACCGGGTTCAGTTCCCGCTAAGGGCACGTACCTCAGTTGCAGTTTGTCCCCGGCTGTGGTTGGGTCGTGTGGGAGATAGCCACTCGATGTGTTCCCTTCATATCGATATTTCTCCCTCTCTATCTCTTCCTCTCTCTCCCTCTCACTCTATCTGAACAAAAAATGGAAAAATGTCCTTGGATGAGGATAAACAGGAAAAAAAAATATGTAAGCTATATATATCCTTTCATTCATTCATTGACTATTATGCTAGATTCTGCCTATGAGGTTTCAAAAAAATAAAAATGATATGTAATCCACCCCTAAGGGAATGTACAATCTAGTTAAGAGTGAGGTGGGAGGGTAGGGACTGAAAAGAAGGTGACAGAATATAATATGAGCTGAGGACTAACCAAGTCAGCTTTTTAAACTGAAAGACTAAAGAAGATGAAAACGATTGGCAATTTTTTGAGGCAGGTTTCAGAGAAAGAGAAAATAATATGTTAAATATAAAACATGACAACAGCCCTGGACGGTGTTGCTCAGTGGTTAGAGCATCAGCCCATGGACCAGAGAGTCTCAGGTTTGATTCCGGTCAGGAGCACGTACCTCAGTTGTGGTAGTTCCCCAGCCCTGGTATGGGAGGCAACCAGTTGATGTGTTTCTATCACATCAATGTTTCTCTCTCTCTCCCTCTCTCTCGATCTCTTCCTCCTCACTCCCACTTTGTCTGAAGATAAATGGAAAACTATCCTCGGGTGAGGATTTTTTAAAAGTTTAAAAATTAAAAAAAAAGAACATGACAACAAAATAGTCAAATAAAAAACTATTTTTTAAAATGTTTTTATTGATATTTTAGAGAGAGAAGAAGGGAGATGGAGAGAAACACTGATTTGAGAAAAACCAATCGATTGCCTCCCATATGCACCCCAACCAGGGATAGAACCCAAAACCTTGGATATGTGCTCTGACTGGGAATAGAACAAACCCGCGACCTTTTGGTGCATGGGACAACGCTCAACCACCTAAGCCACACCAGCCAGGGCACAAAAATATTTTAAGTAGTTGGAAAATACAATACAGTAAACTCTCAATTTTGCAGACCTCAATTTAACAGACTTCAGATTTTTTTTTTTTAATTCTCACCTGAGGACCTTTTTCCATTTCTTGTCCAGATAGAGTAGGAGGGAGGGAGGGAGGGAGCGAGGGAGGGAGGGAGGGAGGGAGGGAGGGAGAGGGAGGGAGGGAGGGAGGGAGAGAGAGAGAGAGAGAGAGAGAGAGAGAGAGAGAAACATCGCTGTGAAAGGGACACATCGAGGGTTGCCACCTGCACAACCCATCCAGGCCTGGGGACAAACCGCAACTGAGGTACGTGCCCTTAGCAGAAACCAAATCCGGGTCTCTCTGGACCGCAGGCCGACGCTCTAACCACTGGGCCAAATTGGCTAGGGCACAGACTTCAGATTTAATGGACAAAATTTCCAGTCCCTTTGTCATGTGAAAATTAACACCCTGTTAATTTTTAAATGTTTTCAACCAGGATTTGCTTGTAATTAAATTAACGGGTTTTTTTTGTTATTACTTCACTGTTATTTTTAACAAATTGTAGTGAATAGGCCATATGTTGGAAAAAACACTGTAGTAATTTCGCTGACATAAAAATTACATTATCTACAACTATAGTCTACATTTTAAATCCAAGAGTCGTCCACTCATAAACAATGTTCGATGAATGATTAGCACATGATCACACCACGTGGAGCGGAAATTGGTTCCATTGTTGCATGGTGTGACTTTCTGCAGCAGTTTTAACCAGTGCTGGCCAATGTTCTGATGAATGCTAAACCACGCTCCAGCTGTGTACATTTGTTTACTCCCAATGACTGGTAAATGCATGCATTTAATAGATCTATTTAGTATATATTTAAAATTACAATAATACATACAGGATACTTTTCTGTAAAATTCAACTTTTCATACATACTTAATTTTAAGTACACAATGTTGTCTATATGAGTAAGAACAGGTAAACTAATTTGTCAATCTTTTAAAACCTACTTTATTATACAACAGACTTTCGACTTTGACAGCTACCATCATGTGAATAAGTCCGTTATATCAAGATTTTACTGTATTGCTAAGAAGTTGTGGCTAAGGATGGAAAACTAAGAAATACAAAAAGCCAACATCATCGCCCAGCTGGTGTGGCTCAGTGGTTGAGCATCGACCCATGCACCAAGAGGGCGCTGGTTCAATTCCCAGTCAAGGCACATGCCCAGGTTGCAGGCTGAATCCCCCGTGGGGGACATGCAGGAGGCAGTCAATCAAATGTCTCTCTC